ATCTACTGGCACAATGACAACAACTCGGGCAAGGCAGAAAGACACAGGAAGCCTACAGCACTACTGTTGTTCAGTGTCAGATGTGGTCTGGAACTGGAAAAAAAAAAAAAAAAAAAAAAAAAAAAAAAAAAAAAACCTCAGGAGCTGAGCAAAGCATCAAACAGCTACAACACACCACAGAGACACAGGCTGGAGATGCCTGCCCTAGGGCACCCTCCGCTTTTTCCTGTGTGGCACCCAAAACGCCACCCTCATAAGGCTTGAACAAAAGAGGCATCTGTATTAGACAAGCTGGCACTACACAGGCACACATTGTCAAGGCAGCCCAACACCTCATATCGCCCCACTTAGCTTTGGCGGGGCTCTGGGTCACCACAGAACTTCAGGAGCCATCCTCAATTGGCAGAAACATCTTCTCCCATCTTATTTCAGGTATACCATTCACCACCATCACCTGTCAAACCAGAGCACGAGTGGTCACCCTTGTAACAGCCAGCTCCTGCCTCATCCACATAAGCACTCTACCCCAAAGTACTGCTCTCATTCTGCTCACCTGCACTGTGCTGGATCCCCGCCCCGGTATCAGGGCTATAACAACACACATGACAGCCAGAACAAACAAAAGTACCAAGTAACTCATCCATTAGGCAGGGATAACTGCTCCTAAATCTACTCACACACTATTCTATTCAGTCAGTCTGCCTCACCTCAAGACCTCGGCTACAAATGCTAAAGGCCTACACAGCACCTGAAAGAAAAAGAAAAGCAAATCACCAAGACACAGCCTGGCAACACCCCACTGCACACAAATAACCGAAGACACACACGGAAGCACCCCTTCTCATCTGTTCTGGTTCCTACCCACACAGCTTCTCAAAAAACCTTAGCACAACCTGCAAAATACGAAGGGAGAGCACACCTCTTTTTTTCTCCAAAAGCAAGAATAAATACTCTTGGAGAACTTTAATCCCTCGCCACCTGCTATTCTCCTGGACCCTTGAAGCGCTGGACTCCCACAGCAAAGCAAGAACAGCATGATCTCCTCAGCCCCCGGCCCTGGGCTTATGTAGCTCTAACCCTACCTGCTGCCCTACCCAGCAGCCCTCGCAAAGGGAGGGCCCCGCTCATCACAGCCATAAATATAGGTGGGGGTGCAACCCAAGGGCTGCAGGGAGTGTGCTAAGGGAGGTGCGGAGCTGTGCTAAGACCTCATGCTTTGCCCGCTGTGTGGTGCGGGTGAGAAACAGGGTTGCTGGTATGGAGGCATTTTTTCCTGACAAAAGACCTAAAAGCGGAAACTTCCTGCCCATCTCCCCAGTACTGCCAGTTTCCTCATCAGCTGCTGGGTGCTTGGATCCCTCTGCTTCAAGCCAACCTGCTTTCCCCTCCTGTAGCTGAACGTTGCAGCTCGTGCGTACCCGTTCCAGAGTCCATCTCCATGTGAGGCATGTCAGACCCCATCTGTGCATATCCACACGAATGCCTGTAGGGCCCTCCTGGCCCAGGGCGCACGGAGGCCCTGGGAGGCCGCACGAAAACCTGTAGGGCCCCCCTTGCCCAGGGCACATGGAGGCCCAGAGAGGCTGCACGAAAGCCCATAGGGCTTGCCTGGCGCAGGGTGCACGGAGGTCCCGGGAGGTTGCATGAAAGCCCGTAGGGCTTACCTAGCCCAGGGTGTACAGAGGCCCGAGGAGGCTGCACAAAAGCCCATAGGTAGCCCCTGGCTCAGGGTGCACGGAGGTCCCGGGAGGGTGCATGAAGGCCCGTAGGGCCCCCCTGGCCCAGGGCGCACAGAGGTCCCCGAAGGCCACACCAAAGCCCCTAGGTGCCCCCTGGCCCAGGGCGCACGGAGACCTCGGGAGGCTGCACGATAGCCCTTAGGGCCCCCCAGCCTAGGGAGTGTCGTGGTCCTGGGAGGCCGCACGAAAGCCCGGAGGGAGCCCCTGGCCCAGGGCACATGGAGTTTCCTGGAGGCCGCACGAAAGCCCATAAGAATGCGCTGGCCCAGGACACAAAGAGGCCCCGGGAGGCCACACGAAACCCAGTAAGGCCTCCCTGGCCCAGGGCGCACGGAGGCCCCAGGAGGCCGCACGAAAGCCCATAGCGATCCCCTAGCCCAAGGCGTGTGCAGGAACCTGGAGTTCGCACGAAAGCCCATTGGGACCCCCTGGCCCAGCGTGTACAGAGGCCCCGGGAGGCTGCACAAAAGCCTGTAGGGATCCCCTGGCCCAGGGAACACAGAGGCCCCAAAAGGCCGCACGAAAACCCATTGGGGCCCCCTGGCCCAGGGTGCACGGAGGCCCCAGGAGGCTGCAGCAAAGTCCATAGGGACCCACTTCCTTTCCTCTCTCCCCTCCCTTTCCTTTCCTCTCTCCCTTCCCTTCTCTTCCCTTTTTTCCTCTGAGCTAGTTGGGGGGTTATATCATGTTGCTCCATTCCCCTGTCCTAAATGCTGCAACCTCAGGTTTTGGTGGGAAAAACTAGGCACTAGCAGCGCTGAACTAAGATAATCTAAACCACGTGCAACCGTGTTATCCACTTCAGGCCAAGTCCTTTCTTTGCACAAAGATCCTGCACTGAAATTAAAAGTGCATGGCAGGGAAAGCTCTGCGGTGACACAGTGAGCATGGGTTTTTGCACAGCGAACAGCAAGGGAGAACCAGGGCCACAGGCTCTTTCATTGCACTTGCACCACCACAGCTGCATCTGGGAGAATTTGCTCCTAAAGCTGGGTAGTTGGGAAAATTTTACTGACCACACACAAGGGTATAAGGTCAGCCAGCTCTGTGCCCGCCAGGATGCAACAAGTTACAAGATGTGGCTATTCCTCTGGCAAAGAAAGCACCAAGAAACTTTCCCAGCGTGATACCGTGTTTTGTGTTTTGGACTCACTTAGTTCCCTGGCCCTTGTGGCTTTTGCGTTTCGTATTCAAATTATGGGAGATTTTAATTTCCGTACAAATTGCAAATTTCACAGCTAATAGTGTTGCCAACTTTTCTGGCAATCCAAAACAGATGTGTCGTCCTTCAGGGGCTAGGCAGAGCATTTGTGACTGGTGAATAACTGCTGCTGAAAGTGCTACGGCCCTCCAGGCAGCAAAATACTAACAGCTGCAACCCAAGAGCCAGGAGAAAATAAAATACCCCACGCTGCATCTGCGTAGCTGTAATTAATCCAACCGCTTAGCCTCTCTCCAGCATGCTCTAATGAGATCACTACCAGTCCAGAATTATGCACGTTTCTATACACTCAAGCCATGTTCAGTAATATATTGCTCTTTGCATCCAAATATCATTTCACATTCGGAAAAAATGAGCACAGGCAGACACAAAAGCGCTCTTAAGAATTCATAAATTAATATTATTTCTGGTGATATTCTGCTGCTTTGAAAGGACCTTTGTGGGGATTTTTTTTTTAAATGTCAAGAAAGAAAAGCAGAGAAAGCAAGAAAAAATGTTCACTGAAAAAAAAAAAAAAAGCTAGTTGTGCCTCCTTGAGGTCAGAGCCAAGTTGACAATAACCTTAATTCAGTTAATGTTTCATAGCACAGTGTCAAACCCTCTATAGAGATATTGGTGCAGTTGCTACAGGGAATAGCAAAGGATAACTTAGGGAAGATTTTAAGAAAGGGTTCTTGAGTTTGAGAGAAGAAAAATAAGGATCGAAAGGGCCCCTTCAGAAATACACTAAAGAGAAGCAACAGCACAGAAAACTAATGTGACATCACAGCTTTCTGCTACACTGACAGCCAAAACCCACCGTTTCCTGCCCCCAGCTCCTTTTTATTTATACCTAAATGATACCAAATGATATTTTGTTTACATGGTGGATTTTTTTAAGGAAACATGCTTGATTGCTGAAAACAAAAGCACACAAGCTTGCAGCTTTGCTGTGAAGCCTCCGCATTAAATAGCCGATCAGATTTGTAAAACTGAAGAGAAAGGAAATGCAGAGAAATACATTTCAACAGGTAACATAGTATTGTCCAAAGTGGAATGAAGGCATTTAGCTTTGAATGAATCACTAATCACTAGACAAGTTAGCATTTCATGAGATTTAATAGTTAGCAGAGTGCAATGTAGCTACCTGAATAAATTCAGCTAATGTCTGCTAGCCTATAAGCCATAGTTGAGTCCCACTCAACTGAGAGTGATATTATTCACTATTTGTGCAAGAAAGACTGCTGGCAAGGAAAATACATTTTACTGCCAACCTCCACTGTAATATTATCATCTTTAATCAAGTTTAGAGAGAACAGGTAATATAAAAATACTTCATAATACAAAAGAACTTTTACACTGTTAAGACCTTTCAAAAGACTCTTAAGAGACATTTACAGGGCACTTACAACACAGCAGTACTGCACATATCTCTCAGACAGAGGAGGAAATGCATTTTTTTAGTGACTGAAGATTAACCTAGAAAAAAAGTGTTCTGTTTGAAAATCAGAGGCCACCTATGAAGATTTATGGGTTTTCTACCTACTTGCGCATCAGAAATGGTGTAGTCTGAATTATCACCTGGCTGAGTCCCAGAAATCTGCAATATCATCAATGCTTCTCATAGTCCTTTTATTAAAGGCAGATTTCCATGGAGGATTGGAAAAAAAAAAAAGAGAGAAAAAGAAAAAAAAAAGCAATTCACATGTAAATCAACATCTCCCACCAAAAACAAAACAAAAAACAAACAAACCCAGGTGATGCTACAGCACCCAAAACAAAATTAACATAAAGAATATGGATTGAAATTATCAATCCCTGCAATAGTCTCTGCAAATATCCTTATTGCGGAATACCATTCTGCTTTATTTTCTAATTAATCATTAAAACAATCCATTAAGTATTCAAGTCATCACTTTTCATATTTGACAAACCCATCAATCTCACTCTGAATGCACCAAGTTATAAACTACAGCCACATATTACAATCTTACTGCACTGCGTCCATAGATAGAATGCAGCTGTAGCCACAGCTGTGAGGAAAAAATACAAAGGCAGTTTCTCAGGAAACCATGTTATTCTAACACGTGACTAAAGCCAAAGAAGGAAAATCTCTTCCAACTGCACCTCCAGATGCGTCTCAAAATATATCCACTTGATGTATATTAATGTTGAAATGAACAGGTTCCTCCATCGGTTATCTGAACAGCAGCTGCACTGGGAAAGCATCTGTAAGGTGCCACAGAAAAGCAGCCTTTTACAGCCACTAGTCTCAAATTACATGAGAAATGGAAAGGAGTCTTCAGTCTTTGGCATCTCCCACTCCATCAGCATTAATAGCAAACATGGCTTCAGCCTCAGGAAGACAAGGAGAGTCATAAATCTTACATATTCTGGTTTCGCCTCGGCCTTTTCGCAGATACAGTCTAGTAGGGAGAAGGAAACAAAACAAGTAAGGATGTATAGCTTATTTTCTATAAATCATGACCATAAGCATTAAAACATTAGGTTAGTACAATACAACACACTGCTGTTAAGCTATTAAAAATGCTACATTAATTTTTATGCAGAATAAATTACACACTCAAAGATGTTCCTGCTTTTTAAAAAGTAGACCAGACAACCTGTTAACACACTTCACATAAAAAAAAAAAGTATTTATAGGTACTTAAATCTCACACAATCTTCCAAAATAATGCTGCCAGAAAATGATAACTATTCTCATACCTGGTAGTGGAAGCATGTGCTATGATGTTTCCTCCAATAGGTTTTTTGGGATCTGCAGCAAACATGGCAGCTCCATCTACTTGCGCAACTACTTGGTTAGTGATCACAACTGCCACACCAAACTGTAAGGAGAGAATCAAGAAATAAAATATATTTATTTTCCACAATCTGAAGAAAGAGGAGGAAAAAAATGTTAACACTCCTCCCTTCCCAAGTACGACTGTCCGTTACCACTCTTATCATGCATCTCAAAACAAAACAGGGACAAGACATTGAGCAAGCACAAAACAATCTGTATAAAACTACTGAGAGAAAGAAACCTAACGATCAGTTCTGTTGGGAGCAGAGGGCACAAGGGAGAGCGTTCACTTGCACAGTACCTCATCTGCAAGTCGCAGGAGCATTCGCAGAAATCTGGCCAGATGCATCTGCCTGGCTGACAGCTCGCCTCTTCCGGAGTAATCTGTTCGGTAAAGCGCCGTGGCACTGTCCACTATCAGCAGCGCGTAACTGCAGAAGACAAATTACAAAGTACTTCTAGGCGCTGCCACGTACGAATGACGCCTTTGTTTGAACCTGGCAGTGCCCAATTATTTGCAAGGCTCCATAAAGATGCGGATACCAGCTCTTCTCACTTGCCAGCCAGCAGAAGTTATTATTTTTAACATCCTGGACTTGATCTGCAGTGTTCAGACCTGGCATTTCACAACTACATAATCTATATTCTTCTACTTGCTCGTCGGCTACAGGTAGTTTTACAAGATGACTATGTAACAGCAGGAAAATCACTCCATCCAAGTCAATCTTATTACCGTGATTCAGCCATCATTGCAGATGCTTGATACAGGAGCTGAGTCTGATGATCTGTGTTAAAACCTCGAGCATATGCCACGTTATCAAGGACATCACTGCCAGACAAGCCGTACCTGCAGAATTCAGTGAGAAGAGTCTTAACGCGACAACTTCATTAATAGTAGTTATCTAGCAGGTGTACCTGAAGACTAGATTAAACCCACATTCCTGACACAGCTTGGTTATAAAGAAAAGTAACAGCAGAGAATGACTGTAAACCATCTTCCAACAATATTTTCTTGCCTAGGAACAGCAGTGAAGTAGACTATCAGGCAAAGAATCATAATGGCTGGAAAAGACCTTCAGGATCATTGAGTCCAGCCATAAAACTGTAAACTGGCATGTTTTCCTCAGAATAAAACTACAAACAGGAAAAACTACAAACAGGAAAAAACAGAATATTCTGAATACAGTACTGTATAATAAAGCACTTTTAACCTCTAAGCAGATTTATGGACAGATATGGAGCTCTGAAGTCAAAAGGGAACAGTACTGAACAGGCACCCCTTTCAGCAGGTCACTGATGAAAATGCCTTTCGGTTGGTGAACTATTGATGCTCAGAGACATCGCTGGCAACAGGCTCCCAGCCAGACTTGGCACCACTCATGACAACCCTCTGAGCTCTGCCACACAATTTTCAAGCCACCTCACTGTATGCTCAGTTAACCTGCACCTCCTACGATGGCTCTGAAGATGCTATAGAAGATAGTGTCGAAAGCCTCACTAAAAAACATTCACTGTTTTCCCCTCATCCTCCACGCCAGTTTTATCATCATAGAAGGGTATTGGGTTGATCAGGCATGCTGTCTCCTTCATAAATCCTATCCAGTCATGATAACCTTCTTGACTGTCACATCTTTGGAAATGGTATCCAGGGTTATTTGCTCCATCACCTTCCTCATGACTGAGGTGAGGCTGGCTGCTCTGTAGCTGCCTGGATCCTCCTTCCTGCCTTTCTTGCAGACAGGAGGGACATTTACTTTCTTCAAGCAAGGTAGACTAGGATGAGGAGAGCTTCTGTAGGAACAATTCTTACAACAGTCCAGCTAATTTAAGGAGCCGAGATACATATACTGTGATCCTCATTAAGTAACTAAGCTGTCCCATCATGAATTAACACATTTCTGTTTTTCAGTTAGTGACAATTTATTTCTAAATGTATGTACAGACCTTTCAGCCACGGCAAGAAGACGCTCTGGGCGGAAAGTGCCTTCTGTGTCAATATACATAGCTTTTCCTTCACCACCACCTCGGTCAATGGGAAGCTAAAATAAAGAGCAAATGAATGAGCAGGGAACAGATCGACAATAAATAAGCCCGTTATTTCTTTGTGCCCTCAACTGATATTAATACAGTAAGTAACATGCCAAGCCTACAGAGACTAAAGTCACATTTATCTGGAAAATGCGAGAAGCCGAGAGAGAAAGAATAAAATAAATCAATACCTGATTAAAAATCAGAATATGTGACTAGTAAAGCAGACTACTCACTTGACAGGTTACTGCCAGCGTATGACACAACTGTGTCTTTCCAGTACGAAACTCCCCAAATAACTCTGTTATGGATCCTGTTTCTATTCCTCCTTAAAAATGAAAGAAAAAAAAATAAACAAACCAGAAGTTGATCGCATACTTTAAACAAATAGACTGAGGATAGTGTATTTACAAAGACAGTTAAAGCTACACTTTGGCTAAAAATGATCATCTAAGCTTCCAAACTCTAATTGTTTAAACCAGTTTTGACACTGAGATTTGTTCATATTGCACATAAGTTGCATTTCATGTTGCAGTTTAGGTAAGTGCATTTTTGAACAAACTGAAGAGCTGAGATGTCTTTTTTGTTTTGTTTTTATAACTATGGCTAGGAGTGGGAAGATAATGACACCTGTTTTGGTTTTCTTGAAACTAACTAGAGAATGGACTAAATGTGAATGATCAACTCTGGATTCATGCTTTCAAAAGCTTTCAAAACTATTGCTGCAGCTCCTTAAAGAGAATTGCTTATGATACAGGAAATAAGTACTAAGAACTATTTTAGTTCAACCAAAAGATGTCTTATGTTCTTTTTTGTGCAAGTATCATGTCCTGTATAGAAGGAAAAAGAAAATGAAATTTAATCCATAAAGAAATAAAGTTATTACCTTGAAGAAGTTTATCAAGTTCTTTGGATCCAGTGGTGATTTGGATAATTTCTGACCTCCGTTGATGGAATTCTGTTGCTGTAGTAAAACCCATTGGAACTAGTTTAGCTGCTTCAGCCTAAAGAAAACAAACTAAGTATTGTAAAGAACGTTCATCCTGATCACTTAATCTCCCTAGTAATTAATATGGTAATTTTCTGCTTTGTGAAAATGAAGAAGCAGCTATAAAATTCAATGCATACATTTGCTTTTATGGATTATTGGGATATTTGGCTTCATTATTTAACAGAACTGAAGTTATGTTCACAGAAAAAGCTTCCACACCCATTTTGTACATTTTATAGAAATGCCCCTTCCCGTAACCAACCTTTGGGTTCAGTTCTGTCCATGTGAAAACAGAAATACTTGATAACAGGGAAGCCCGAAGCCCATTCTAATAATGCTATGGATGTATCTTTATGAACACGTTCCTTTTTAACCAATTCATGCTACAGAGGCCCAAGGTGTCTTAGAACAAAGAGTTCCACCCCTCAATTACACCCTACATCAAAAAGTACTTGCTTTGCCTGCCTATCATAAGACTCTTATCAAGTAAATCCTGAACGAAAAATAATGATTTGGCCATATTCTGCAAACCTCCCATAATCTTTACAGGCCTTTTTAGTTATTCCTGCACTTCTTGAAGTTAGTCCTAGGCTAATTTGTCTTTTCCCATGAAAAGGAGAGTTTGTATCTCTGGTTCTCCTTACTGCCCTTCTCAGGATATTGTTAACTGAGACCTTAAAGGCATCTGGAATAGTTTGAGCCAGCAACTATAAGACTTCCTGATATTTTGAGGTTGAAATTAAAGCTTTTTTTTTTTTTCTTTTTAACAAAATATCCTTACCAGGATTTTGTCAGCTTTGGCTTCACTGATACCTTTAATATTTAGTAACTCCTTCTTTGGTGCATAAGCAACAGCCTCAACTGTGTGAAATCCAGCTTCTTCCAGCTTTTTCACGTCATTGGCATTTATACCACATTGCTAAAAGGAAGGCAGGTTGGGGAGAGAAGAAGACACATGAAACTCTCAGACATACGTTTTATCTCCCTTCCACTGAAGACCTTCAGCTGGCTTCAGGAGATCTGGATCAAGCTCCAGTATTACAAAGCTGCAGACTCCCTGCCAATTTATATACCATGAAGTAAACATGGAAGCATGGAAAAAAATGTCCCTCTACCAGCGCAATGTTTGCAGGAGCCATTAACCACCCAGATAATATAGAACAGGCAGATATTGCTCTCGGATTTAATAGATATTGAAGGTGACCAAAGTTTCTCGAAAACTCATTCTCAAGCTGACTTTGGACATACCTCTAGCCTAGATATGAGCTGTGGCCCCAAGCTCTCCTCTTCTGTTGACGTGTCTGCATTTGCTTCGTACTGCATCTGCACGGCCATCGTAGCAGCTATTCAGCACAGCCCTGGCAGCAAGAAAAAGCCCAGGTAACTTTGTGATGCTGCACATGCCCGTCAAACGCGTATCGGGGATACATATGTACTTGCTGCCTGTTGCAGAATGCATTAACAGATCGCCTAGAGCAATATGCAGCCGTTTTCTCCCGCTCGTGGCGGGCACCCTCAGACTTGCCCTGTGCATTTGAGAAGCCCCCAACGTCCTTGTGTTCAACTAGAGGGACGGGGGCGCAGACGGGGTGTCCCCCAGACGGGGGCTTCCTTCCACCTTTGCTTCCCACGTCACTTCCGTGGCCGTCATTTTTCCTCACAGACTCGCCTCACGCAACGACCCTCCCCTCCCCCCCCGCGAGGGGGGAGCACGTGACGGCGCGCGCAGCGCCCGCCCGCTGCCGCGCACGCGCAGCTGGACGAGAGCGGGGCCGCGGGTGCCGCGCTCAGGGCCACGCCCCTTCTTAAAGGCGCCGCCGCGCCCGTTCCTGCTTGTTGATCATCACAGTGCTCCTCCTTTCACAGCTAATATTTATTTAGCTTTTTGGGGGTAATATAATAAGTATTGTTATCTGTATTCCCCCCCCTCCCAAGCACGTAAATTAATTTTACAGAATTAAATAAGTTCCTGGGCTATAAAGCAGCCCAACTTTACAACCTGAATTGCAGTGGGGGCTGAAAGAACCGAGGGAGAAGGGGTTGTTATAGTAACTCTGTGTGCAAAAAAGGTTGAAAAAATGAGTCCAACAAAATTTAATTTGCAAAATTTCGTTGTTTGTGCAAACAGATAATCTCTAAAGAGATTTTAACAGTAATGGATCACAGCTGAGGCACTACAAAGGGGAAGGGAACTAAGAAATGACAGATGCTGTAAGACTGAATTCCTGAAGCCTGAGGAGTTTAAAAACATCCATAGAATTTAAATTAAGTGTAAAATTGGAGTTACATTAGTACTGCCACAATCATTTTCTATTGCAGTTGCAGGGTTGGTCCATTTTTATTTTGCTTAATCTGGTACACTTAGAAGCAAGGTGAAACAAAACATTCAGAGAAGAGGATAACACCTATGAACTACTGGAGCACCCTCTACCTGTTAATAATACTTACATAGTAACCTTAAGAAACTTGAAAGGTAATTTAGGTATTTAAGTATTTAGGGACTTTATTTAGTTGCAACTTTGGCACTAGTTTCAGAAATAAAAATCTCCCCTGAGCATCAGATCACAGAAGACTAACACTAGGAAACATGAGTAAAAAATACAAGTTAATATTTCAAAGAATCCTCTTAAATTGTTACCAAGAGGAGTAGCCAAATTTTCAGTCACAAATTTGTTTTAAATACAACAGTTATCACAAGTGGAAAAACAAGTTTTTAGATGAACTTCTACCCTCCAAATAGAAGGAAAAAATGAAAAGAGATTTAAAAAAAAAATCTATAAACACATACATGAAAATATTTTAAAAATCAACATATTTTACAGAGATACAAAAATTTGACAGCTGCCTACACCAAAGGGAGAGTTAAGAACTGCTAGGGCGCTTCAGCATCATAAATCATTCTGGATTAGCTCAGTAGCACCAGGCTCAACCTATGTTACAGACTATACAACAGCAACCTGGGAGACTATAAGGGGAATCCAAAAGCATCAGGCTGGGTTAATAAGAGGCATAAACACTTCCACTTTAGAGACATCTCCATTTAGGCTTTGCTTTAAAAGAGAAGCTTGGGACTTACACTGAGCATCCCAGATATCAGCCACTAGGCAAAATTCATAGCAAGCTGAGCAACTAACAAAGTTCATGGTTCAGTGAGGCTGCTGTAAATTCTTGTAAGAGGGGAGCCGAGGAATATCCAGTTTGACAGCTTCAGTCCAGCACGTGAATCATCTCGGACCTTGGAGCAGATTCTGATGAATTGAGCTGACCATTCTCCGCAGATAGTGGTAACCAGTTGGTACTTTGGACAGAACAGCAGAAATTTCCTCCTCGCTGGGAAAGATAAAATTATCACATTAATTTGCAAGGGCAGAAAACATTTAATCCAGTGCCCATAAGCTTAGAAACTTAATTTATACGGAGTGGTTCTTTTCACTGAACTCACCCAATGTTCCCAATTTTTGTTTGGGCAGTAAAAGGCAGTGAAGCTGAAGGGTAGTTGGCAGACAACGACAGGGTCAATGTGAACTTTGCAAAAGCTGTGGAACTGGAGAACAAAAGCTTCACTCTGTATGAAAATAAAAACAGCAGCAACAAAATCAATACAGAAATGTTCAAATGTACTGCTGCCTCTTTGGAATGAGGTTCCAAATGTGAAAAACAAGTGAGTCTTATTGCAAATAAGGGAGAAACTGTCACTAAGTACACAATGCTGAGCAAGGACGTATTATTTGTGCATACTGTAAAGCAGGCCAAACATCCAAGAGGTCTTTTCCAAGTGAATAACCCACAACTGCCTGAACACAGGATGCATACAATGATACGAAAAGATTCTGAGGGGAAATATTTATCATATTTCCCTGGGGAATGACACAAGATGAGGAACTAGTTTGGCAAAGAGATATTCAGCCTTTCAAAACCAATTTTGCTTTGCTGAAGCAAACTGAAAATTTAGCCTGGAGTAAAAAGCGATTCTGCTTCCTCTCAATTTCTACACTCTGGCCCAATGCTCTAGGTGAGAGATTTAACTGAAACAGGAAAGCACCAAGTAGGGAGAGATTATGTAATAGTGTGGAAACTGGCTGAGCTCCATGCCTATGCACTTGGAGGTTATTTCTCAATTTTATTAAAAAAATACATTATTGTTAAAAATAATTACCTAAAAATCTCTGTCTCTGGAAGATGAATTTGAAAATCGTTCAAAGGTTTATTTTGTGATTGTCTACAGAAACTTTTTGAAGGATTGGTGCAAACTATGTACTAAGTTACTTACTCTGTGTTGTTGATATCTGTCTTTAGAAGATTAAATTTTCCACCCCATTTCTCCAGAAATTCAATCTCCTCTCCTAGGACCTTACAACGACTCACAACCAAAGAGATGTCATGAAGCACCTAAGGGGATAATCAGAAAACCAATCACACTGGAAATCAGGCTGGCAAACAACATGACACTTTAAAATACAGTTTATGCTGGAAAGTATACAAATATATATATAGTTTACCTGCTATTTCAATTTGGATGTTAAAATGAAATTGTACAAGTATAAGAATAAATATTTATTGCCCTAAGCGTCTCCCTTTTGCATTGTCAAGAGGGGTACACAGGTATTCAGGAATGCAAAGTTTGGTTTGGCAATTTAAATCACTTAAAGCAGAATGGTATTCAACACGATTCTTTAGTTCCACTTGTACAGTCACAAAAATGAATTTTAGAAATCGCTAAGGCAGGCAGACATCAATATAACGCAGAAGGAAGAAGACATAGTTTAGAATATATGTTCAAGTAAATCAAATATATTCTCAATGAATGCCAAAAGAATACTTAAATTACAGTTTGCATTGAAGAAGCATTCAAAGTCACTTTTTTCCTCAACATTAGCCCTACTCTGCATGACAGAAATTCCACACTTTTCTCAAGTGTCACAGGCTTTCCTAGAACATTACCTGGGGCAAGTAGTGGAGTGTGGGACACCTTTCCTGCCAGCATCCTTTACTTTCAATGAACTGGAAGATGAGCCTTTGGACTAAACGTGAAGAAAGTGGAGCTTCTTCCTCTGTAAGGTAAGAGATAAACATGCTGCTAGCAGTCTTTTTAAAGACATGTAGTAATACATCGGCGGAATAAAGAACCCCACAATTTTATAGATATGATCCCAAGAACAGTTAACCGGGGCAGCTACGTTTGAGCTACTCGAAAAGAATCTTACCATCCAGTAGAGATTCAAAGCTCATGCTCACTATCTTTCTGCAGGGAATGCCGCCAAAAAAATCACCATCTGAGAAGGAAAAAAAAGTAAAAAGTTATTTCCATACTTAGCTATGGAACCCTTTAAATTATTCAAATTCTACTTCAGCAACAGCTACTTAATATATACATTTCATCTTTTTTTATTGAAAGCCCATCGGGACACCCCTATCCAACCCTCAATTGATCACATCTTAGTTTACATATTCCCACTATATTTTGTTCAATTTCCCCTTGATGTCTTCACAGATTAAGAGCCTTTGTGTTTCTATTATATAACTATTGAAACTCTCAAACACATAAAACAAAAACTTACAACTTTTACAACTTACCAATTTGTGATCCAAAGACTACTGTGAATTCAACAGAATCATAAAGAAAAGTAAAGACTGCCTGTTGATCACTCCATTCACTAATTTCCCACTCATTGAAGCTTAAAAAAAAAAAAAAAAAAAAAAATCAACCAACCAAAATTAACTGAAAGACAAAGGTCAGTGTATTAAGTGCACTTGCAACTATTACATAATATACTAAATAGCTCACCTTCCAATAGAACATAAAAATCTATGGGAAATACGAACATAACACTGTTGACAGAACCAAAAACATTTTTTAAAGTGTTCATTTTGGAATAACAGAATAGATAAAGACAACACATGGAAGTTACTGAACTCCTCATCCTAGACTTTCTATTCATCTGCATCCAAAGATATGCCAAATTAAATAAAAAAACAGAACAAAAACATTAATGTACAAACATAAGGACTAAGAACCCCCCCCCTTCCCCCAAAAAACTAACCAATCCAAAAAAACCCAACCTCAAAAAACAACACAAAAATTCTCAAAGGTCCTTACTTGTTGTATGTGTTCAGAAGTTCCTCACAGCCTTTTTCTTTCTTCTGTAGCTGATTTATCTCAGCAAGCACTTGCTCCTTCTCAGTCTCAAGATCTGACAGTTCTCTACAAAGAGAAAACAATTGCTTCAGGTGCTCCTGAGAGAGCAAACCACACTGATTAAGAAAAAGAAATCTCTAGAACTTGCATGTGCAGTCACTTTTAAGCTCCTCAGTTCCTTTTTAGGTCTTACCTTTGAAGTTCCTCTTCTTGAGCTCTTAGGTTTTCCAATTCTAAAAGAAAGAAGAAAAAAAAAATACACCAGACTGCATACTGCAGACCAGAGCAGCAGAGAAAATCCTAACTTGCTCTGCTGTCCTTGTTTTTAACAATATGAAAGAATCCCATCCTCTTATATATAGATAGGTTATCAACAAAAATTACTACTTATTGAGCGGTCTAAGTGTTGGGTATAACAGCCAGCACACTCTTCAAGTCATCCTGTTCCAGGTTTTAAAGTTCAAAACTTAAAATGGAAGGCAGTGGGAGCAGCAGTGTGGAGCATCACCATCTCCAAAACTTATAAACAAAGTGCAGTTACTATTCATTACCTTCGTCTATTTTTCTCCCTTTGGGCTCGCACCCTGCCTTTTCATCACATTCTGCTTCAAATTCATCCCAGCCAGAATCTATGGGAAAGAAATGTCAGAAGGTCTCAGCAGAACTCCCGGATTCAATGTTTAGATTCCATTTTTATTTATCTCCAGGTTCTATAATTGTCAGAAGTTGAAAACTAGCCAAGAAAAAAGGTGTACAAGAAGCCGAAAAGGGTATCCATCAAAAACTTCAGAAAATTTAGAACTAGAAAATGATTTGTTTTTATTATACGCTTTCAAAGTCAATATAGCACAGTTTGATTTCCACTTAAGGCACCAGAAAAAATTTGTTAGAGAAAAAAGAAAAACACATAGGGCATTGCTAAGCTGCAGTCCCAAATACTGACTGCAAACTTTTGCACACTTAGCTGAACAAGTTTTAACCAGCTTAGATACTGCAAAGAGATCAGTTTTGCAGGCCAGCAGGATTTGATGCTCTGCCAGGGTCGCCGGCAGGTTTTGCAGCTACACTAGCAGGTTTAGCCAACCTGGTTACATGTTCATAGGTTACAGTTAGAATTGTGTATTTCAGCATAGAGAGACTCCTAGTGTTTGCATACTGTATAAGAAATTTCTGAAAGACAAGCTTGTAGCCATGAATGAAGTTGATAAAGCCCTAAGAGATTACTTGACACAGGAATTTTAAAATTACAAGCCAGTACCAAACACAGGATCTTGAAGCGATTCTTTAAACAATAGCACTATAGAAAACAAAAGAGAGTGGACAAGAAAGCAGCAGATCAGTTACTAGTTTGGAAACACTTACCTCCTTCCAGAGCAGCAAGACAGCTCTCTGCCTCTGTGAGAATTTCATCCATTTGTGTTATTCTTGTCTGTAGTTTCTCCCATTGTTCCTAAGATGTGAAAAATAAGAAAGCATAGGATATTTCACAAGTTTCCCCTTGTCCTTACAAAGGCATGAGATGATACATGTGACTAAATAAAAGTTTTCAAACGTTACCTATCACAATGCATCATCCTTTGTTAGTTACTAATACTGACAGATCATTACAATCTAAGGAGCTAATTTCTTACAGTATTTCCCATAACACTCCTTTTTTCTCCTCCCCTGTAACTTTACTCCAGGAAGCCCTTAGGCAGAACATGCTTACAGCTTGAGCATAAGACAGTCACTGTCCTAATGTGCTTCACATTTGCATACACACAAAAGGCAAACATGTTTAATAAGAGGGAAACTATCAGGAGGATGTACATTTACGTACATTAATTATGCTTCTAAACTTGTTAGGCTTGGCTTATACTATCTTTATATGGATGAAATATGGTAGATTCCACTTATGAACCTAACAATCCGCTGTCACCTGCCACATTACCTGTGTGCTCTGCAACAATTTGCTGTACAATGTCACTTTCCCATTGTGAGCAAGGATTTTACTTTCCTTGGTGAAAGAGGATTTCATTTTGTTCAATTCTGCTCCAAAGCTCTTCAGCTGTAGTGAAAGGAAAAATAAAGAGGAGAAAGCAAACAGGAATGTGAAACAAAATGTATTCAAACAACCTTTTATATTCTTTTTCCCTGCCGCCACTCCTCCTGCCCCTATGTCCCAGTTCTCTAGTAGCAGTGTTTGCTACTACAAACTCAAACTAACTTAAATTGACAATTTAAGTTTTGCTGTTTTACAGCAACATTTTCTCTCTCTCTCTCTAATATATGAAAAAGGACATATGCCCTCACACTCAAACCTTTGGCTTGTAACATGTTACTTGTGAACATTATCTCTTCAGGCCGTATTACCTCTTCATCGGAGCAGGTTCTCATCACTTCCCACAAGCTCCTATTTACATTCACCAAGAGTTGATTCTGGACACTTGCGTAAGGTTTTAATCTAAAACGCGGAGAAAAGACAGGGATGGTGAGGTTAGGGTTAGTTACAAACACATTGTGCACTTAAATAGCACATGGGTATTTGCACACATTCCCCTCTTCTAATTAAAACAGGGGAATGTAAATATTTCCATTTGATAGGGTCTCACAAATTAGAGAGGCCCTGCATAGCCTGGATTATATTGGAACCATGTTTGCCTAACTCCAGTGCATGAAGCTCCTCTTTCTATAGGCTTTTTGGTGGAGATGCAAATGATGAAGCAGAAAGTGAGAATACAAATTAGGGAAAAAATATCTTACTATTGATTTTGCATTTTTTTCATAAATTTTGATTTGATACTTAAATTGTAGCAGGCATAATGAATCAGACTAGAAGCATTTTTCAGATGAGAAAATAAATCATGCTTCCTTTACTTCAGTCTAATAGTGAAAAATTAGAGCAAACAACAACAAATCATAACCTGTTATTCTGCTTCCTATATTTGATCATTTTTGACACAACTCAAATTTTACTCTAACCCATTTGCTATGTAACTAAGTCATAATTAAAGTTTGATTTTTCTCAAATAATTTATCTCCACAAGATTCTTCAAGATTTTCCCTATATCCTATAAGTACACAACAAACTGGGTGCTCGCATAAACTAGGTTACCTATCATTTTTTGTTTTTCTCCATATGTAATGTACTAACTTTCCTCAAGCCATTCTGCCTGCAACCTGAGCTGAAAAAGGATAAATTACAAATATATGAAGCGAATGAAAAAAACAACCAAACAAAAAAATCCAACAGACTTACTCATCTATCATTTGAGAAAGGACCTGGCAATCTTCTTCATAAATACGCAGTGTGGGCCGATACATGTATTGGCTGTAAAGCAGGTCTTCTGCAGTAGGTGGTGTGCTCGCTGTGTACTAGGGGAAACAAGGATAAAATTGTGGGGGAAAAGAAACAAGTAAAGGAAAAAAAAAATGCATACTTCTCAGAAACACTACCTTCCAATCAATTGGTGCACAGAAGCCTTCAAGGGACTTGGAAGCCTTATTGTGCAGAATAGCATTAAAAAAAACAACCAAACAAAAACACACAAATGGAGGCAACCTGTCCCACTAAAACCATTTTCTTCATTGGGCACTTGTCTTGTTTCATTCTGAGCCAAGACAATAACACAGCTTAAATAATTCATTTGACTTCTATGCCCCATGTTTCCTCATATTTCAATACGGATTTCTTGTTGGGACATATGCTTCATCACTGATACTCAAAAATCTAAATTGTGAGTGATTAACTTCTTAAAAGGCAGACCTAAGAAATTTAATTCTTTCAATTTCACAGTTTTTTTTTTTTTTTTTGGTAAGGTCAATGATATGCACTTGAGAGGACTGCTACTCACATTAGCTGGAAGATGACTCTGTCGGGGTTTCTGAATTGGAATGTGGACTTGAAGAAGAGTAAAAAACTCTCCAACTGTGATAACACCACTTTGAAATTTCTGCAAAGGTCAGTATAAATGGTCAGTAAATACGTTACTGAAACACGAATACTTACTTGCATACACGCAAACAAATACTGTTCCTGTTATGACAAGAAGCTAGTGTCTCAGCTATTTACATACCTCCCATAAGTTATCTTCACAAATGCTGTCTATGAAAAGCTGAGATTCCATCTGGCTGCTTCGCTGAGCTAGAGAGAAAGGAGATTGCTGTAGTTAAAAGTACTTATATGGAAATATACATATAAGCTCAGTAGCTCAGGAAAAACGAAAAACACAATTTTAATGGGACATTTGACCCTTTCATCTGTTTCCAATGCTTAATGAAATTACTGAGGAAACAGCTACTCAGGACTCAGTTGATGAACAGCGAGGACTAGATGAAAAATATAAATGGATGGAATATAAATTTGAGTCAGACTAGTAATGAAATAAGAGATCAATTTTCGAAAGGTGGACGCCATGATTAATAAACTAGACAATAATGAGTCTGAATGGAGTCTGAGAAACAGACTCCAATCAATTTATTTATGGCATTTTAGGTAGACAGAGATCCAATAGCAGCTGAGCTGCCAATACCTTTCAGGGTAAGAACATGGTTTTCAAGTTCTGAGGCAGCAAGAGCTAGTCCCTCATTAAACGTGCGCCTTCCCCTAGGATAAGATGGAAGTTTCCATGGCTCCTCAGTATGTACAACCAGAATGTAGAAGCCATGATGCATACATTTAAGTCTGACGAAAGAGTTCCATAGTAAGACAAAGATGTCAACTTTCCAAATTGAAATATATGCTATGAGGAGGCTCCAACTTGATTAAGCCAAAAGAACTAAAGAGAGAACTAAGTCTCATTTACAGTTGCTACGTCTTACTAGTTAATTCTGTGTCGGCCTTAACAGAATCCAGAGAGCTGCTGGTGTTGGCCTGCGTACATTCAGGGCTTTTAGCTGGAGAGTCTTCATCTTCGTGAATTTCTATTTGGCTTTTAGAGACAGCAGCAGAGATAACCTAAAATTAAGCAAGTTGAAAAGAAAAACAAATAACACCAAAACAGAAATAAATTAGTATGGTTATATTAAGGAAAAAAAAAAAAGAATGACAAGCAATAGTTTATATAGCTGATTGTTTCATTTTTAGCATGACAAACCTGCGTATGGCTACTCAAGCCATTTCCTACCCTGGCTTACAGGAAGTGAAGCTCCAAAAATCCTTCATTCACTTCTCAATCGCAGCAGTAGCCAACACAGCACATTCTCCTAGCTTTCCGAACTAGAAAGTTTGGAACATTTTGATGATGATCAACATTTGCCCAGATTTTCTTGTTTCCATGGCTATTTGTGCTGTCTAGAATATATCTAGTTTAAATTAATGGTCATATTTGGACTTTAAATAATTCTTTAGGACTTTCTAGATGCTTATACCTAGCAAACCTAGCAACAACTACGAAACAGCTCAGAGTTTTGAAGATTATTAGATCCTGAAGGATTAACAGGGTACTACAGAGAGAGCAACATAGTACTGATATAGCTCTTATTCTGTCTGTTTTTAGTGGTTCAGGAAAATTTTACTTATTTGTGCAGCTAGTTTTCACAATGGCAAAACAAGAGAAATATTGTGAAAAACACTACAAACATATGGTTAAGACAAACAAGACAATCTTAGATGTTTGCACTGCAAAATTCAAACAAAAGCCCTGTTAGTGTTCCCTGATAATGAGGGATTAGGCTCACCTGCAAGTCTTGGGAGGCCTCACCATCCAAAGATTCATCCATTTTGAGCTTCTTTAGCTTTGAAAGCTTTTCATCATGTTCCAAAGCTCTTTTGGGGCTGTTGGAGGCTTTTGCCTTTTCAGATTGAGTCCTTTGGTTGTAAGGGGTTTCTCTTTTGTTCATCTCATTGGAGTCTCCTTCTGGTTCAGAATTTACAGATTCATGTGAATCCATTTCTTCTAGGAAGACGGGAAGAAATTCCTCTGCTATAAAATGAGAAAGGTTTAGGTTCTGCCCACTACAGTTGTTGCCATCTGGGCTTTCTGCAGCGCCTGGGCTTACTTCAGAAACCACTGCTTCTATTTTGTTTGAAGATTTTACATTTATGTCTTTCTCACTAGAAACAGAAGGATTTCTTCTACTTGGTAATTTAGGCAGAAAGATACCTAGAGGGACATTTATTCCCTGATATTTGTCCTTAAGCGCCATATCCAAGTTTGCTTGTATTGGAGCAGCTCCGGATTCAAGACACACGTTCTCCTCCTCAGCAGTAGTTTTACCTGTGCTCAAAGTTTCCTCTGATGGAGCTGGTGATTCAGGAAAGGGGTCAACAGAAGTTACTTCAGAAATAGACACAAGTGCAGATCTCCTTCTAATATTTTCCAGTTTTGAACAAGTATTTAAAATATCTGTTAATTTAGATACCAGAGTGGGATCTATTTGATTTCCTGGAATGTCACTGACTGAAAGTTGTCCAGTCTGTTCAGAGTTCTTTTGGAAGTCTTCTGGAAGTTTCTCCCCCTCAGGTGAAAACACATCATTTTCATTTGATTTGTTGTCAGAAACTGGAACAATTCTCGAGCCATCCGTGACTAACTCTGCAGCTAGATCTTCCTGTCTAGATGAATCATCTTTCAAGACTTGGTTTCCTTGAGTACTAAGCATCTCAGGAACATTCTTCAGACAATCTGACTGCTGGATGGGAAGTGAAACATGAGACACCAGATCTTCACCTCCTTCATTGAAATCCATGAGAACATTACCTGAAAGCTTGACAGAGACTCTCCTTGACTTCAGTTTTCCTAGATCTTGTTCGTTTACAGAAACAGAATTATCTGTGGGACTGTGTGGTGTGCAGATATCCGAAATGTCTCCTGGAAGCGAGACCATATAAACAGAATCTGCTATTGCATCACTGTGGTCTCTAAAAGTTTCTTTTTCACTAGGAAACAGAAAGGCTGATGAAGCGGAATGGTCAGGCTTATCCTTAGACTCTGCAGGATATTCATCAGTTAGGTCTCTTGCACAAGGGGAATACGTTCCCTCGCTGCAAGAGGCTGACAACACACTCTGCGAGCTTGGTTGCCGAGTGCTTTTACATGACAGTTCTTTGGATTCTTTAACCTCATTACTAAGAGCAACACTATGAGGTGCAGTTATTTCCATATCCTCTTGGTTATCTGTAAACACAATGGTTTTATCCGCAGGAAGAGAAGAAATGGATGGTCTATCCTGTAAATCCATCTCACCACTTAATATAGCTGTATGAGTTTTAGTGATCTCCATATCCTCGGGGAAAACAAAGATAACTGTTTTGCCATTTAAAACAGCCTCCTTTCCAACCTGCTTAGCTAGGTTTAACCTGTCCTGAGATAAGATTCTTTCAACACTGTTATCAACAGTCATTTCCATGTCATTCTGTTTACCTGTAAACATAATTGTTTTATCAATGGAAGTTAAAGGAATAGACTGATCATGCTGCCTACCTTGCACAGAATTTTTTTGCAAAGCTCCGTTATATGTTTCAGTGTTTTCCATACGATCCATAACAAACATGGATGCTCTGCTATTTGAAAGAACCTCCTGTCCAGCCTCTCTATCCAAGTTGGGTTTATCATCACAGAGAACTTTTGGGATAATTTTATCAGCTAGATTTTTTGTAATGCCCCTATCATCATCACATGCTGGGTGTGAATGCTCTGCAGGCAAAGACTTTGTATTAGCTGTTTTTTCCATAGCTTTACCACATAAACTGCCAAGTCCCTTGGTACTTTCATTGTTGATTACGCCTGTATAATTCCCAGTGATTTCCATGTCATCGCCTGTAGAAAAAGCAACAGTTTTATCACACTGAAAGACAGTGTCAAAAGAAATAGATCCTGGAATCACAGACATTGTTTGGGGCTGTTGATCAATGGCTTGCAGCACTGTAGTATCTAGCCTGTTTTCAGCATTTACCATTGCCTTGTCTGTACAAAGCTGAGGGTTCTCCTGAATAGGCAGTTGCAGCGTAGGTGTTCTCTTTAATATAGAACTATTATCTAATTCTGTGGCTGGAAAATCCTTTTTGAAGTTTAGACTTAGATTCTCAATTTTGGAGAAGGGAAAAGACAATTTTGCAGTATAATTAATTGTCATATCCATACCATCATCTGCAAACACCTCAGTAACATCCGCACACACCAATCGCTCTGGTGGAGCCTCATAAGTGCCAGGAAATACAGTCTTAACATCAGATGTCTGACATTTTGTCACTTCCATCCCATCATCTTGCCCACTAAAGATTTTTGTCACATTGCAGGTGGTTTCTGGTTCCTGAGAAGATAGGTATCCCGCTGATGACTGTGCCATGTCTTCTGAAACTTGTGAAGGACCAAAAAAAAGATTCTCTTTTTCAGGTCCTTCAACTGAATTAAGCACCTTTTTATTTGATTTCAGGCTCATCAAAAATGCATCGAAATTTAATTTTTTTCCTGTCATAACATCTGCTTTCTCTTCAGAAGATGGGCATGAATTATTTGAAGGATCACAGAAAAAATGAATTTCTTTGTTCGTTTCTGACTTTCCATCGTTAGACTTTAACCCAGCCAGAAATGCTGGGATATTCTCAGTTGTGTCAGTCTGACTGTTTTTCAGGCCATGTGTAATCACTGCAGTGTGAGGAGCTGTCATATCCATTTCATTTTCATCTGAAAAGATAACTGTTGTGTCATGCCTAGTTGTTCTTTGAATGGTGTTGTCTGCATTGTGCCACTAAAAAAGGGACCAGAAGTGACAGTTACTGATACTTATCGCAAGTGATACAATAGTTTATTCTGCTTAAAGCAAAGTTCAACTAACGCAGCCCTAAGGTTAAGCTCTATCTTCTTTGAAGAAAAGAAAATCATTGCTTTGATTCCTCCTAGACAGGCAGTAGTAAAAACATTCAAAGAAAGATGGCAGATTCAATTATTACAGCATAATATATTTATATGGCAATGGTTGCTTAAGACCAACTTCATTCTTGCTTCGAACTGCATATAGTTTTAATGCATGAAATACAGTTGTGGGTTTTTTATAGTGTGCATTATGAATTACATAAAATAAGCAGAGACAAAGTTTCATTTTGACCATTACAGCCTTGCAGAATACATGTTCTCAGCTACACTAGATCTTTTTTTAAATATGATTTAAGAAGGGCTAATTTATTGTTCTATATCGTGGAATTAAAAGCACCTAAGCTTTAATAACCAGACCTATTTGAACCATAAACTCCTCTGCATTCTTATCTAGAGTTGGAAAGAATGGAGCAACTAACTCAGCATGCGTTTTTAAAAATAAAGTTTCTCAGTATGGCAGTATAATGCTTACTAGATTGAGAAATATTTCAAAATATAGAGGATTCCATTTCCAAGGAATTTTACATGACCACAATGATTTCTCTTTTTAGGTAAAGGATAATAGATAAATAAAAGCCTTCATATACCTCAGCCTGCTGCACCAATGCCTGGATAGGGGCATGAAGCAAAGTGTCCATCCCTGTAAAAAAACAAACAAACAACCCTCCATTTGTTGAGCTAATTTTAATATTTTTCTATCCACTAAACTGAAGTCCTATGAGCTCATTTTATAAATATCACCTGCAGAATAAGCACAATTAAAACCAAATGCACCCCAAGATACATTTTCAGTAATCCATTGAGCATGTGCAGAAACTACCCACGCTTTTACAACACAATGCTTGCAGACAGCTTTATGAGACAAAGTGTGTTCATGTAACACTTGCCACAGTAGGATTATTAAAAATATTCTAAAAGAGTCAGTACTTTGGGATAAAAAAATCATCATTTTGTTATTTAAACTATTTTAAAACTCACCAGTGATCTCACACTCAACAGCTTCAGGTTCTTGTTCTTCATTTCTGCAAAAGGTGAGTTAGGTAAATGGGTTGTTAAGAGACTTCCAACCAGAGAGCTTTAATAGCACAGTGAAAGGCAGAAAATCCAGGTGCATAGGTCCTAAGCAACTAGGCAAAAATAAACACTGCAAATAGCTCTGCAATATATTTTGGCTGAAGCTACAATATTACTGACCTAGGAGATCCTCTTGTCTTAGTATTCTATAAGCCATCAATCAATATGATAGCTGACATTTTCTTCTTCAGTAGCATTTTTTTTAAACTATAATCTTCCACAGTCAGTTATTCCTTTCTCTTTGGGGAACTGAAGCTGACCCCTCAAGTCAAAGTTGGCTTCTTTGTAAAATGAAAAGCTGCATATACTGACCAACTTGAATGGCTTTCAGCCTAACTTAACTGTCACCTTTATTAAGACATTTCTGCCTTTTTGTGAGTGACACACACACATATATATATGCATATATGATTTTAAAGTATTATTTCTCTCACTAATTAAAAGTACTCAACAATTTCATATCTAAGGTAATTATGTTGCATTTGAGGGAATTGTTGCATGTTTCTCTGAGGAAAAGCATTAACAGTTGCAGGTCAGGTGAAGAAATGTATCTATAGGATAGAGCTCTAGAATCATGGGAAATCTTTTTCCAAACTTACTGATTAAGCAAGACTTGTTTCCTTGTATCTGCTGCACACTCTAAATCTAATAAAAAATAGACATTAGAATGTGAAAAATAGCACAAAACAACCAAAGACAAAACAAACAAAAATTCTACAGTTCTTACTGTTGATATGCCTTTCTATCAAGGAATCACCCTAAGAAGCAGAGCAGTTGAAACTGCATTGGCCTTTCAGATCCCTCCTACCTAATCTCTGATGGAGGGATCATGCCATTCTGCTCAGCACTTGTTTGATACAAAACCCCAAATAACTTTTTTTTTTTCTATTTGTAGTTGTAATTCCTGCTCTGAGATGCAATCTCTACAGAACTAGGAACTAATAGTTTCTTGACCAGTCCATCATAAGCAGTGGACCAAATCATTCCCTATCAGTGACCAACAAGCCTACTTCTTAATTTCAGGCTGAAATCCTGTTGCCAACAGTCTGTGCATCCCCTCAGGAGGAGGGGAAGGAGTTTTACCTGTATTTTCTTTCTCTGCCACTTCAGTCTTATGATCTCTCTGGAAGACTCTGAAGCTAAAAAACAAAATAATCAGTTGTGATTAGTAAAGAAAGTTTTTTTAAAAAACAAACAAAAAGAGCTAGGAAGAAAAACATGAATTATGGCTCTCTTGGAACTCAGAATATGTGAATTTCAATATAATTTAACAATTTCTTTCCTTGAATACCCACATATTTTTGTAAACAGCAGTTTGAGATGACACCAGGTTAATACCAATAAATTGCACTTTATGCTTAAATAAAGGATGTATATCTGCATGCTTTAGAACAAACTTACTTTATGGTGTCTGCAAAGCTGACACGTCGAGAGTTTTTCCGACGTCTTTCCACATTGATGTCCTGACAATAGGGAACAAAATAGGAACTGTCCTTTGTATATCAGACTATTTCACAAGCCACAACAGGCACAGCTTTTCATTAAAAAAGTGCATGTGCGCACATACACATCAGAGCCCAACAAGTACATATTTTAATTTACCAACTTCCTTAAACTACTTTATATTTCCCCAGCTTCTCTCCTCCTGCTCTATAGATTGCCATCTCAGAAGTAAGGTCTAGAAAAAAAATCATCTTATAAATCTTTTATAATGGCTTTATAATGTAGCAGAAGCAAATTATCTGGTTATTCCTTTTTTCTTAGCAGAAAACTCATTATGAGTATTCGTTACAACAAAAACATTAGTTACATTACTACTCAATGTATTTTTGGTAACCTTTAATACCTCAAATATTATTCTATGGGAAGTTATTACTACAAGTGTTTTTTCTTGTGTTGTTCTAGTGACACAATTTACTCAGCAACAACTGAGAAGCTGAAAATGTTATGAGCATCAGCAAGGAAGGATTTACAGGTGTACCTGAGTGAATTCATTCCCACTTCCAAGATCATGAAGAGGACTTCGTGGAGCCTTTAAAATCTAAAAGGAAATGAAATAGTTGAGAACATGAGTCGTAAGTGCCACCAAAGAAAATACCAAGCACCAGGCAAATGAAATAGTAATTTGCAGTTTTCTTACAGGGAGTTCAAGTATAAGTATTTCAAGTATCACCTGTGCAGAAAAAAAAAAAACCCACTGCCCATCATCTGGCATGACTTATAATTGGCTTTTCCACTGGGCATTTGTCCCAGACTTATCTCACCTCACACGAACCTCGCACCAAAACACAGAAATTCTGTTGCAATTATAACTTTTTCTGATGTTATAGGAGCAGTCAAAGATTAGAGATATTGGATTTGACATCTCAGATAAGGGGGCTCTAACATAAAAGAATGAGAAGTCTCAGGCAAAGTGTTGCAGAAAAATCTTTTCTACCACAAAGATTTTAACTGAAGCAAGTGAGAGAGAGGCAGAATGTTGCATCATATTTTGGGAGGTAAACTGCAGTGGGAAGGCAAAAGAAAAGGAAAAGAGCATGAGAGGCCACCCTCTTTCCTACCTTTAATAACAATGTACCCCAGAGTTAATGCCTTATGCCTTATTTGGGAAGGATAGCCTTAAATAAACGAATTTTAAATAACTAAAGAAAATTTTCCACTGTGGTAAGCTCTGAAAAGTGAATTCAGTCTTGAGGGAGGATGAACAGATAACATTAAAAGGGGAAACTGCACGGTAAACATTTAGAAAGGGAGATTAAGAAAAAAAAAAAAAACAGCTGTAAGTTAATTGGTAAAAATATTTTGACCCCCATTACCAAAAATTACACTAAAATATCATGCTATAAAAGCATGTCTTCTTCACAAATTTTTGAGTCTGCCTTCACAGCTTCCATTTCTTTTTCTCAAACTCCCCCGTGGATTTGTTTAGGGAAATGTCTCAAGCTACTCACAGACGAAAGCCTTTTCCCTCTGATACGCTCTGTATTATCACTGTAGGAGAAAAAAACAGAAGTGAATATTAACCCACAACTGTGCATCAAGATGTGTTTCTTGAACAATATTGCCACGTTTTTAAAAGTAAACTGATTGCTCTATTATTAAAAAAAAAAATAGCCAAGCTTGCCTGGAATAGTTAAGTCCAGCACTAACTCCAAACAAATAAGATTTGGAAAATTCAGCAGGTTCCCCTCAATTCCTCACGCTGGGTAGTCTCCAGCACTGCTATAATTTTTTCTCAGAGATTTCCTATATACAATAAAAGCAACTTTCTGCTATTTTTCTTTACAAAGGACAATGCATTGCATTCCAGAGGTGCTGAAGAGTATATTTGGATTAAGCAACACTTCACCTCTAAAAGACAACAGAATTTATACCATAAGAATCTTACAAACTTTCAACTTACTTTTCCATGTGAGGGTCTAAATAAGTATTGTCCATTGCTGAAGGACGTGCCTTTCCTATAACATACAGTACTGAAACACAAAAATATTAATGAACTTAGTAAGAAAACTGCACAAATTATAGATGAATATTAGTCTCACAAACAATCAGGAAAAAAAAAACAGAGTATCATGGAATCAGTACTATAAAAATCAATACATGCAGTTTTATGTGCTTTTTTTCCCTAGATTTCAGCAATGTATTGATCCATATGCATTTCTCCTTCTATCACTATGTAAAATATACCTATGTGGGGGCACTAAACCAATAGCATGTATCATTACCTTATTTTACACAGCAAAAAAAGCATCATAAGAATCCTGGCCTTACAAAGTGAGTTGTAAACCTGCAGAAAACAGATCTCTGCACAGAATCTCTCAGCTTTTGCCTTTCAAAGACAAACCTCAGGATACCTGAGGTTGGAAGAGACCTTTAGAGATCATCTAGTCCAACCCATCCTTCTCAAAGCAGGGTCAACTAGAACAGGTTGCTCAGGACATTGTTCCCATAAGATTTTGAACTGTACCTAAGGCAGTATTAAGCATGCAAATAATAATAGTCATAGAAACAAAGAAAAATTTCCAGGCCCATACTTTACTTGTAAACACAAAGCTAGCTTGACAAAAGCAATTTTTGTTTGTTTGTTTCTTTTGTGTTATTTTTGCAAAATAACTCCCAAAGGCATAGCAGAAATTTAGATCAGTTAAAAGGATTTCTGGTAGCCACCTCGAGATGAGGATGACCCACACACGAGCACAGGTCTATGATGGTTTTATACACAGTCAACATATTTTTTCCTGTTTTGATCCCAATTTTTCTTCACCCTTCCTTGCACTGGATACTCCACACACACACACAAACACACACACACCTCACTAAGAGGTACAGTCCTTAGCAACCCGCCAAAACTAGTTAACAGCCCCCCAGTACTTATGCCAGTGTTTGCCCAGGAACAAATCTTTCGTGTTGGCCAACACGGGGCTTTATCAGCCGGTTTACCCGGAGCCTCCTGCTCCCTGTGGCGATGCTGACCTCACCTCGGCCCGCCACACACCGGCCTCTGCACCAGCAGGCCGCGCTTTTCCCTCCCGCCCTTTGTCTCTCGCCCCCACAGCCGTCAACGAGCGTTAACCAGCGGCGACCGGTAATCGTCGCCTCAGCCGATTCGCGCGCTCGCGCACCCCACAGCTCGGCCTCTTCTCCCTCCGGGCTGCTCCTCCCCGGCCCTCACGACTCCGCGTCCTCACCGCCCTCCAGCCCTCCGCTCCCATCGAGCGCCGCCGCCTCACAATTCAAACCCAACCGCCGCTTCCCGCGCGTGCGCCCCGCGCCAAACGGCCGCCGTACAACATGGCGCCGGGCTGCCGCACGGCACGGGGCCGCTGCGCAGGAGCAGCCGGTGCTGTTTCTTATAGCCTGGGCGAGAAAGGGAGTTCTCGTGACGAGGTGGCCGAGTGGTTAAGGCGATGGACTGCTAATCCATTGTGCTCTGCACGCGTGGGTTCGAATCCCATCCTCGTCGGGACTACTTTTTTGCTTTCAATACTTTACCCTATTTTTTTTTTTCCCTCCAGAATTCAAGCATTTACTTGAGCAGCTTAATCTTTCAGACAGGGTTTTCTACACTAAACAGACCCCACTCTAAGAAACTGGCCCCCGAGAAACCTGCCCCACACTGACATTGCAATAGTGAAGGGGGAATAAACAATTTACAAGTCTCTTCTGCAGCCCCCAGTAAGCCTAGTCCTTACTAGGATCTCAAATAAATACTGTCTGCAAGATCAAGAGTTGAGGGGGTTCCAGACAAATTAATCTCTGCTCCTCTCTGAAGTCTCATCAAGGCTTGTTTATGCAAACACTGCAGATGGCCTCATTTTTATTGACATGAAGAAGACTTAAAGGGAATGACTATCTCATCGAGCAGAGCAGCTCTTCCTCATCACATAATCCATCAATAGTTATTTCCTTAAAAATTGCAACCAAGAATTTAAAGGAATGAAAGAACTCCTGCAAGACTCCTCTGGTCAACAGGTTCAATACAGAATTACTGCTATTCAAAAGAGCCTTCTGCATATGCCACTAAGTGGACCAGTGCTGCAAGCCCTCCAGGCAGTCTTAACTGCAATTAAATCCTTGCAGAAATTAGATTTTTACTAAAAACCCATTCAGACCTCCATTCTTTATCCAAGCAAATGATTGCCATGGTCTGGTTAAAATGCTTAAAATGGTCTGGTCAGATAAGGCTGTCAAATATGACCCTATTAACGTTCTGGTTGTGTTTTGTGGCATAATTCTGATTCAGTCCTATCCAGACACTTGATCCCTACAGAGAAAATATGGCTGAGGATGCATCACCATGTACCTCACAGCCTAACTTAAGCAGTATCTGCCTCAAAACTCACCATTTCTGGTGCCTAGAACTAGTAAGAGCTGCACACAGCTTTATGTTCTGAATGGCCCCAGGTTCCTACTTGGCCCAACTTACCCTACACATGAACTGCAGACAAAAAAAACTAGGGACTGAGTTTCATGACATCTCTCAAAGGCAGGCGAGCTTTTACAGGGGTCTGCATGAGACTGACTGCAAGCTGGCAGTGGAAAACATGCATAAAAACCCATACAACTGGGCTAAGAGAAGGCTAGAGCTCCCTAGGACCCAGCAATGCACAGAAAGAGCATCTCAAGCTAGCCCACACTCTGGCAAGGCTCCTGTCACACCTTCTTAACAAATGTGGACTCCTTCCTCCATCATCTTTAAAAATGTTTCTTTGACATTTTAGAAATGCTGAACCTAGCCCCTAACTCTCTAAACATAGACCAAAAGAGTAACTATATTCCTTTCTTACTAAAAAAAAAAAAAAAAACAAAATTCCTTTTTTTAAAAAAAAAAAAATCTGATTTATAAAACTGCTTGTTTCTTGCTAAAACTGCTCACACAGAAGCACAGAAGGGACCCTGCAGTTACTAAGTAATCTTAAATTCAGCAAATGTGTGAAATTCTGCAAGTGTAACTTCAAAGCAAAGTCTATCAAAAGAGGAAACACTAACAGAAGAACAGGTGTATGGTTACATAGAGCGTAACAAAAAGTATCTCACCAGGCATGGATCAGCTCTACATGGCTTGGGTTTTAGCTCGTTTTGTTCTCAGTTTTAATACCTTGCGTTTAAACCAACCCGAAAAAAAAAATCAAAATAGAAGTTTTTCTCTGCATAAGATGTTAACATATTGGATATCATCTTAGCAGTTTTATTCCATGATAAAAGAACATTAAATACAAGATGGAAAGAAGCAAGCTGTTGAATTTAAGTGCCTGCCCTGCATCTGTGTGGAACCAAAAACAGACCCAGAACACACTGAGGTGAAGATTTCAAATTGCCTGTGCCAAGCCAGGTGTTGCACAGAAGTGTTGGTTAACTAAAGGGAAACACCTGGAAACATGGTGCAGCCCTGACTTCCCGCTCATCTTTTAAGTACCCATCAGCAGCACAAGTTTTTCCACCCCCCATCAAAGTCACAGGCATTTTTTGTTCACCTCAGCCACACTGAAAAGTCAAACAGGGCCATTGCTTTTCACATCAAACAAGCTTAGCTCTTTAGAAGACATACTTCTGCAGACATGCTGCAACAGTGTCCGGGGAGGCCAAAGCTCCTCTGTCATTCCTGCCAGTCCTCCATGGCCCACGGGGGCATCTTGGAGCAGTACTCGAAGCCGGCTCCCTTGTAGCGCAGGGCGTGCAGGTACATCACCAGCTCCCTCGGAGAGGGGTCCTGCCTGGTTATCTGGCACTCCAGGCACAGAGGGTCCTTCTCTTCCACACCTTCCTCTTCCACTGACCCACCCAAGCCCTCACATGAGCTAGTTTGTTTATTGCTTTCAAGGGTTCCCAGCCTGGTAGCGCAGCTCTGGAGACCAGCAGGGATTTCACCTCTCGCTGGATCCTTAGCATCCTCAGCAGGGCAGGAGTTTCCGTTCACAGGGTCAACGGATTCCCTGTAGTCACCTGAATTACCACACTCTCTATTGTCTGTGCTGGGGTCCCAGTCCTCCTCCGAAATATCCAGGACATCCAGGCTCTGCTTGGAACGGTGCTCCTCTACTAGCGCTTCCAAGAGCTCGTCATCAGTTTTATCAATCTTGCCACCTTTGCCCCTCTCAGGACCCCATGCTTTCATATTATATATAGGGTCATTGACAATAGGATACCCCAAGTACTGCAGATGCACCCGGATCTGGTGTGTGCGGCCCGTGTATGGAAGACACCTGACCACGCTGGTCTCGCCATTGTAACTGAGCCTCTGGAAGATGGTTTTGCAGGACTTCCCTTTGGGGTCTACACGACACACTCCCACTTTATAGGAAACCACCAGAACAGGCTCTTCACAGACCACTTCGTCTTCTGGAAACTTCCCCACCACACGGCAGACGTACTCTTTTTCCAGCTATGGGGAGAGAAGAAGAATAGATGTTAAAAGCAAACAAACAAGCTCCTTAGAAAGCAGAAACTCAGCTCTGCCTCAGTTACATCCTATCTCATGCTAGAGAGTTGTCTCTTTCTTCACTGAGACACATATGTAGGCAAGCTATTCCCAGAGATCTATTAGAGCTGAACAGAAGGGAGGAAAAATAGCTGTTTAAGCATTTCTCCCTCCACATTTTTTATTTGTTCCCCAACCAAACAGAATTTGGAAACATAAGGGTCTGACCTGTTTTGTCACTTTCAACTCAAGATTCATCTCCATCAGTCTTATTGTCATCTTTGTTTCATTACCTTGAAATGGAGCCTAGAGGACAGTTCCCAACAGTTACAGTTCTTTTCAATTAAGAACAACTGCAAAGTGAGAGGATAGGGAGAAGCACTGCACTCCTAAATCTTTTAAAAATTGAAAAAAGTGATTGACGCTTCTGATAATAAGTAAAACTAATCTCCAACTGCTATAGCATAATCCCTTTAGGAAGGGAGCCACATTCAGTTCAGCAGTACCAAAATAAAGCAAGTTTTTGCCTAGTCTTTCCATCCTGAGGCCTCTCACACCTTGTGCAACAAGAACATGAAGATGACCAGAGGCTGTTCTTGCTGAACAGTTGGTCTTGCTGAGATTAAGGATTTAACTGACCTTTGACCAAACCTGTTTCAAGAAGCTGTCATGAAAGAGACCCCAGGAGCCTTCGGTTCTCACCTGTCTCTGCCGAACTTGCTCATCAATCCTCTTGGATACCTCTGCGGTCTTGGCAAACATGAGCACTCCGGAGGTCATGCGATCCAGCCGGTGAATTGTATGCAGCTCTTTCAGGTTATGCTCTTTGCCCAGGATGAAGATGACGGTATTGTGACGAAACCTGCCGCACGGATGCACTGGTAGGGAGGATGGTTTGTCAACAACCACGACCTCATCATTCTCCACCAAAATTTGGATGGGCTGGGCAGTCACTGGAGGCTCATGGCGATGCACTGTATTCCTGATCAAGTCATTATTCTGAGAGGAAAAGAAGGAAAGAGACAAGTTGGACTAGATCATCTCTAGAAATCCCTTCCAACCTCAACCATTCTGTGATTAGAGGGAATCTGGTCAACCTAACCACCATGCTTTGGTACATGCAATGGGCATTTGATATGATGGAGCAAACAGAAGACAGAACAGCCTAGAAACAATGATTTAAACCAGGCCGATCATTGCACTGGAAGCTTGCCTCAAGGGACAACCCTGTGACAGACATGTCCTCCAGGGGCCGAGTAAGAAACCACGGGGGGCTCCAGCTCAATAGTGCAATAGGGCTG